ACAAGGGAGTTGTGAACTTAATTTACACTTGTAAGAGAGAGAACTAAATTGGAAGTACTGGGCATTCTTTTCTCCGTGGGAGAGTCCTCTCCCAGGGACGACTGTGTGTGATCGTATCAACATAGGTGCCAGCCATGGCAGTTCTCGCAGCCTCGAGGTCAGCTTATTGCCTTAATCGCTCTTTTCTCATATCTATGTTTTCAGCTTCTCAGGATCAGATGAGCCAGCATAGACTATGCTGATTTTATTGCTCCTTCTCTGCCCTGTATGCTTCAGGAACCTCAGAGAGGCAAATAAGATGGATGTGACGGGAGGAGGGAGGGTGTCTTGTCTGGCTACAGGTACAAAATAGATAAAGGGCACAAGTGTCTAACTGTAGCCCGCACGGAAGCTATTAAAGCGTGCCCAGGACCGACCACGGTCAGCGGAGTGAGGAATGTGTCAGGGCTACTCGATTTTTGCCCAACTCAAATCCCAAATTATTCCAGGATCGTCCAGCCCCTTAATGACCTCCTGAAGGGGGTCGGCAGATCACAGGTTGCAGTTGAATGGACGCCCCAATGGAAGCGGGCGTTCACCGCCTTGAAACAGAGGCTAAGCTACTGGCCCAGGACTGGGACTTCCTAACCCTCCAATGCCTTTTACGTTGTACACACACGTCAGTGAGGGCCATATGGCAGCAGTGGTAACGCAAAAACCTGGGGATAACCACGTCCGGCAGCATACGACTCTCCCAAAGTAGATGCTGTCGCTCAGGCAATGCCACCATGCCTCCAGGCAGCGGAAGGAGCCTCTATGGCCCTAAATCGGGCACCGCCACTTATCGGCGCGTAAGTGTGAAGGACGGACCGGGCGTCCGCTCAGGGCAAATTGCTCAAAATCAGGGCTCCCTACAGCCCCTGACTGGAGGCCTTTCCCAAACAGGCCACAAACCAGTCCCACCGAGCGCTTCAGCTGCCAATTTGGCCAGTGTCACAGAGCAGGTCCTTTTGACCACGGCCTCGCACGCGCATTGCCCATTCTGCCACACAAAGGCCCCTCACAGAAAACGTAGGCCGCTGACACACTCTGAGAAAGCATAACTTGTAAGCGCCCAATGCAGCTTTCTGTGAACGGAATTTAATCTTGTAGGCACCTAAGAACAGGGAGGTGAGCATGAAAAGATAGAACACAGATGCAAGAGATAAATAGACTCTCTTGACCGGTCCTTGAAGGTAGGCATAGGGAGATAAGACGCAACTGCCATGGACACTGACCATATCCGCACCTGGCACTGTCCACAGGGCCATCAAGCGGGCATCATGAAAAATCCTATAGGGCAATATTGCACATTACCTCATTACCAGCCTATCAGGCCCTGCCAGGGAACAGACCCTAATAAGGTACCGGATATCAGGTTTTCTTATAAAAGACCCTCGACCCCTTTGTTCAGCGAGGTTCCGGGTGTTGGGGGCACGTGTCTTTTTTGCCCAGCTGAAGGATTGATCACCCTGAGGCTGCCTCCCCACCCTTCCAGTCAAAGAACTCGAGTGCGCGAGTTCTGAGCATGCTCCGAGTTCTAGTATGTCTTTACGCGGTTATCGTTGCTGGATTTGTAAGTATTGCTTAAGTATATTAGTTATTGGTTTAGTTAATATTTGAATCGTGTTAATTTCATCGTGTAATTCTGTAGAGCAGGCATGTCCAAAGTCCGGCCCGTGGGCCAATTGCGGCCCGTGTTCTGGTTTAATACGGCCCCCAAGGTAATTTGGCAATATCTATCTTTTATGGCCCCCAACGAATCCATATGTATTGAGATGAATACATTGTAAAATCTCAGTTAATGTCAGTTGGTCTAAATCAGTTATAAATATATTTGGACACAACATGTATACTTGGTGTTATGTTCCTGTTCATATTTTTTGAACTTAAAAGTTGACAGACAACCTTTATTACCAATAATATGTAATGTACTTTACAATGTTCCTGACATATATTTCAGCTTCCTGGATTTTTTTTTCATCTGGCCTTCAGATATGAAAGGCAGAGTGATTTAACACCTGTTTAGATTTGTGATCCATGTGACGAAATGAAAAGTATGCCGTTTGCAATAAACTTTGCATAAAATAGTTAATTTGCATTTAATTTTAATGGTTCAAAGAATGTCAGGCAAAATGGTCGGCCCTCACGCATGTTCACTTCATCAAATCTGGCCCTCTTTGAAAAAAGTTTGGACACCCCTGCTGTAGAGTGTAACTGAGTTCTATTAACCACACTGTGTAAATTGTATACTCTTGTGTTGTGTAGTGGTGTTGTATTCAGGCCAAGTATAAGTGTTAGAAATAGAAACCTAGGAGTTGTTAAGTTGTAGAGGTAGATTAATGACTTACTCCACCAGCTGCTTAAAATGACCATAGAGGGTCTGGCTCTGGATGGAGTTTTTATTATCATTATATTGGCTTTGATTTTGTATTTTTTGCTTGCATGCTGCACTGCCTTAAGGGAATTAGAGATAATTATTAAATATAATTGAATTATAATCACAAAGTTTGTAATCTGTTAAGTGCAGTTTGGTTCAGTTTTCCCCTCCTGTAAAACACTCTCTCCTCTGGTGCTGGTCCCTCCCCTGCAGGTGTCTGCCCTTCTGCTTCACCCCCAGAATCCACTGGAACCTGCACCTTCCCTTAGCCCTGCACCCTCCTGGTGCCTCCCCCTTCACTCACTGCCCCTGCCCCCTTTGCCCTATTTTTCCCTGATGCCCACCTCCTCACCACTCTCTGCCCCCATTCCCCTCTGTGCCCTCACACATGACTTGCGCCATCCCCACCTTTCTCATGCCCACCCCTTCTTTCAAGCCTTCTCCCAGCACCTCCCCCTCCCCCATCTATCCCCCAATGCCCTTACCCTCTCCTCTTCCCTTCCAGCATCACCCTGTCCCCCCTCCCACTGACACCTCCCCTCCTGCCCTTTTCCTCAGTGTCTGAACTTGGCCCCCTGCATTTGTCTCTGCCCCCTGTCCCTTGCTGCCTTCCCCTTACTTCCCCCTCCCCTCCGCACAAGCCCCTTCCTCTCCCACCCCTTTCCCCTATTTTTCCCCTTCCCCTGTACGCAGCCCCCCTATGAACCCCCCAAGCTCCCCACTTCCTCACATCTCCCCCCTTTGAGACCGAACTGAGCAGGACCTGGGGACGTTCAGTCGCCCTGCTTCCGGGTAAAGCATCGGCGATAACGTTGGCGTTCCTCTTAACACGGACCGCCTCCACGTCCTAGTCCTGCAGGAGCAGGCTCCATTGTAGCAGGTGGGAACCGGCCCCCTTCGTCTGGTGCAGCCAGGTCGGGGGAGTGGTCGGTGCACCTGTGAAATGCTGCCCAAATAGATTGGGCTGCGGCTTTTTAAGAGCCCACACGAGGGCCAGGCATCCTTCCTTGTGGCCACGTGGTGCTGTGGCTTAGGTACACGATGGGGTGTCTCTCCCCAGTGTCTGAGGCATCAATGAACACTGGGAAGGGTTTGCTAAATTCCGGGTGGACCAGCACCGGGCCCCGGATGAGGGCCTCCTTCAGTGCACCGAGAGCCCTCTTGCCCCTCTTGCACAGCTCTGTCAAGGGAGCTAATATGGGGCACGAATCTCTGGTAGTACCCAGCCATCCCAAGTGAGGAACCCCCGCCCCCATCTTGTCTAGGATCTTATCAGTCTGAGGCACGGGGTACACATCAGACACAGTCCAATAGTCCACACAGAACTGGATAGTTCCATCCTTTTTGGGGGACCAGCACCACTGGGGAAGTCCAGGGGCTGGAGGAGGCTGGATCACCCCAAGAGCCAGCATGTCCCCAACCTCCCTCTCCAGGTCCCAGGCTGATCCGGAATGGGGAACACTGGGTGGGAGGATGGGTCCCCATCTCCATCAGGTGCACAGACAGGTTAGTGAACCCAGGCCAGGGGAACAGCTGCTGGTAGGACTGCAGCACCTCCCTGATCTCTGCCTG